ATTGTGGCAGGATACAGGCAATCCATGAAGTGTGCTTTTCTAGTGATAAAATTCACCTGACTCTGTCAGATAAACACACTGGGCATCTTGGTGGGAACTACTGAACTTTTAAAGGATAATTTTCCAAAAAAAAAAAAAAGAAAAGGTAAAATCATGACTCTCAAACAGATATAAAATGAACACATCAATCATTTTATTTTATTTATTTATTTATTTATTTTGAGACAGAGTCTCACTTTGTCGCCCAGGCTGGAGTTCAGGGGTGTGATCTTGGCTCACTGCAACTTCTGCCTCCCAGGTTTAAGTGATTCTCGTGTCTCAGCCTCCCAAGACGCTGGGATTACAGGCATGCACCACCAAGCCTGGCTAACTTTTATATTTTTTGTAGAGACCGGGTTTCACCACATTGGCCAGGCTGGTCTCAAACTCCTGACCTCAACACCCGCCTCGGCCTCCCAGAGTGCTGGGATTATAGCCCCTGCACCAGGCCATTTTATTTAACTCATTAAATAGATGAACCAGACAGATGTTATCACCTTTTCAAAGGAGAATACAAAGAGCAGACAGGTTTACAGATCAGAAATGTTGAGCTTGCAAATGGACGCAAAACTGGTTTTGTTTTTGTTGTTGTTTAATTTTTTTTCTTTTAAAAAAAAAATAAAGACAGGGTTTCACCATGTTGGCCAGGCTTGATCTCAAGTGATCTGCCTGCCTCCGTTTCCCAAAGTGCTAAGATTACAGGCATGAGCCACTACGCCTGGCCAAACTAGCTTTTCCATAGAGGTGGAGAGTTCATCCCCCAACCGGGTAGAATTCTTTCATAAGTCCACAGACAAGAATCATTTGCATTGCCATGAGCTCCCTGCAAGTTAACTTTAATCTCTATAATAGTCTAGGCCCAGATAAAGGCAAGTATCTTTTAGGATCAGATGACCTCCCAAATTCCAACACTGCATGAAAGGATATCTATTAATTTCTTTTACTTATTTCAAAATATTCCATTTCTCCTTACATTTTAGGGTCTGCTAAAGGAAAAAGTTTGTGGTCATTAACAAGCTCCAAGTTCTGGCCCACTGTTAACCATTCATTCAAAAATATTTTTACTACTACCTGTTGTGTTCTTACCATCGTACTAAGTCAAATAAATTTTGGAAATAATGAGTCATGGTCCTTCCTCAGAATTTATTTACAATCTCATTATAGAGACAAGACACACAGAAAACTACTAGTCAATTAATTTAATGAACAACAAAATTGTGAGTACAACTAAAAAAATAGGGCAGTATAAAACAGAAGTACAGTCGATCTCCATTATTTGTGGATTCCGTATTTGCAAATTTGCCTACTTGCTAAAATTTACCTGTAACCCCCATATTCTGTAACCCCTATGTACAGAGAAGTGAAAATTTTTAATTGCCCCACGTGCACATTCCCAGCTGAGGCTGAACAAGACATCATTTGCCTTTTTGTTTCAGCTCTCATACTATACCATAAACAGTGGCCTCTGTTACCTGGCTGGAGTCCAGGCACCATCGTGGCTCATTGTGGCCTCACCCTCTCAGGCTAAGCAATCCTCCCACCTCAGACTCCAGAGTAGCTGGGACTACAGGCAAGAGCCACTATGCCTAGCTAATTTTTGTATTTTTTATAGGGACAGGGTTTCGCCACGTTGTCCCGTCTGGTCTTGAACTTCCCGGCTCAGGCGATCCAGCCACCTTGGCCTCCCAAAGTGCTGGGATTACAGGCATGAGTCATCAGGCCAAAATGTCCTTTTCACATTCCATTTAGTGATATGTTTTTCACGTTTTTGTACTTTTTGTTGATGTTGCTGTTTAAATGGTCCCCAAGCATAGTGCTGTAGAGTGCTCCTAAGCACAAGAAGGCTGCCATGAGCCTTGCAGAGAGACAAGCTTTGTTGAGGTAAGAATTATAGTGTTGTTTACTGCATTGAATGTTAATGAATCAACAATACATATTAAAGAAGATATGTTTAAATGGAAACACACATATAAGAAGATTATATATTGATAAGTTGATGAAAATGTGACCAGATGCTTACAAGATCCTAATCCTGTATTTCCCTTAGGAGCAATTAATTTCAAAATTCTGTTGTACCTCAGTTCCATGGGCACCCAGAGGACACATTGTTGAGCCTCAGCTGGGAATGTGCACTTTGGCAATTAAAAATTTTCACTGCTCTGTACACTTATGTAGGGTGCCAGCCCCCAGGCACCACCCGTGGGTACCCCGAATTCAGTGACGAGAAAGGAATGAGAAAAAGACAGGTTAAGAATGCATAAAGTGGGACCAGGGGGCCAGTGCAAAACTGGACGCTGCAAAGGCCCTGAGCTCTTGTTTTCCACAGTATTTACTGAATACAATCACTTTTATCTATAGTGCAGATGGTGGGGTGAATTGGTGAAAGGGAGGCTGCGCATCAAACATAAGATTGATAGCAGTGGCAGTTTATGTGAGTTTCTCAAGAGCTAAAAGCTATGTTTATCCATAGATAATGCGGCTGGGGGGAGCAGGCTTAGCAAGGAGCCTACAACTCTGGTTACATTCCAGTGCTTCAAGGGAGTGTTACGTCCTTGGGCACTATGTTTAAAATATCAAAGCTGAGGTCACTCTGTAGTTGGGAACATGCTGGCAATAGAGAGGCCTTCCTCCCCAGAGGCCTCCTGCGGCCTTCTAGAGTTCATTGTTTCTGATTTCTTTTATACATTACTTATAACCAGTTTATGTAGGCACACTGTAAACCCTTCCTCCATTGCTGCTTGCCCCAACACACGTATTTCCTCAGGTTGGGCATCCACCTTTCAAATCTCCCCAAGTACATAAAAATACTCTAAAATAATAATTCTTTTCCTCTTAGCATTACATCCGGCACCTGTCAATAGCTGTCTAGCCCTGTTAAGAAAGTTTATTTCAGCCGGGCGCTGTGGCTCTCGCCTGTAATCCCGGCACTTTGGGAGGCCGAGGCGGGTGGATCACCCGAGATCAGGAGTTCGAGACGAGCCTGACAAACCTGGTGAAACCCCATCTCTTAAAAAAAAAAAAAAAAAAAGTTATTTCTGCCGGGGATGGTGGCTCACGCCTGTAATGCCAGCACTTTCGGAGGCGAGGCAGGTGGATCACTTGAGGTCAGGAGTTCGAGACCAGCCTGTTAAACATGGCAAAACCCTGTCTCTACTAAAAATACAAAAATTAGCCGGGTGTGGTGGCTCATCCCATCTACTTGAGAGGCTGAGGCAGGAGAATCGCTTGGACCCGGGAGGCGAAGGTTGCAGTGAGTCGAGATCGTGCTATTGCACTACATCCTGGACGACAAGAGCGAAACTCCCTCTCAACAACAAAAAAGTTTATGTCTTTCTGTTTCTTTAAGACGAAGGCCAGGTGTTTTGCCCTCTTCAGAAATGGCTGCTCGCGCTTCCCAAGTTCTGCGCATGCTCCCTGAGCAGAATTCGGGATTAAGGCAATTCATGAACTCTCACTGCGCAAGATGGAGAGTTGGCCCACCTGCGGCGAGACTCCACCTCCCAGCATGCCTTGCAGCCGGGCCCGGAGTCGGTACTTCGAGTGATGGGATGCCCTAGGCGCTTTAGGCCACCGCTTCGATTATAGAGATTGAGGTGAAACCCCGGGCCTGGGAACGGGACGCAGGCAAAGGGGGAAGATGGAAGCGTGGCGCTGTGTGAGGAAGAGTTACGGCCACTGTGTGGTGGGAAGAGGCCGGTCAGTAGGGATTGGGTACTTGGAGGGAGGAGAGAGGGGCGGGCGGCCTCTGGGCGCGGGCGGGTGTCCGGGACTAACCCGGGGCGGGGCAGGGCGGGTTAGGGGAAGGGAGGAAGAGGAAGAGGGTCTGGGCGATGGTGCATCCGGGACGAGCCTCTGGAGACCAAAAGGGATAGGTAAACCCGGCGCGCAGCCAGCTGGACGCTGGGCCGACGAGGTCTGGGGTCTTGGCGCGGAATTCATGGGCCTGCGGCCAGGCTTGTGCCAGTGGCTTTGGATCCCTGGCCCGCTTCCCCCAACCCAGCCTCCAGACCAGCGCTGGCCTGCTCCCCGCACTCCGCAGCACCGTCCCGGGAGCCGATCGTCTGCGAGGAGGCGGCCTCTCCGCAGTAGGTCTCGGCGGGCCTGATTCCCTGGAGCCACGCGTGTGGCACACGCCCAGGAGGGGCTTGATTTTCGTTGATGTGTTTGTGTCTCAAACTTTAGTCACTTGTATGTCATCCCTTACTGTTATGGCCAAGTTATCGTTCCACGTGTATTATTTACTGGATATTATTCTTTAAATTGACTCGGTTTTTTAAAAAAGCACTTCAGTAGGTGCTGCCCACATTAGCTTCGCCTAGTGTCTGCAGAGTCTTGGATTTGATGTGAGATTATGTTTTTTCCTAATAAACTAACATAAACACTTAGATATTACAATCAAGTAATTTAACTGTGTACCCTATGAAACCGACTCGTGTACCACCCATCACGCTTGGGAAACACAGCATGTATTATTGCATAAGTGATGGGGATTTGGTTTTAACTCCCATAGGCCTGAGATTTGATGGTAATTTAGTTCAACAGTGTTTCCTGAGTACCAGCTGTATGCCAGGCACTGTGCTAGGCACTTCTGAAGAGAACGGAATTAAAATGAATAAGACGGTTCTGGCCCTGAAGGAGCTTAACATCCTTTTTTTTTCTTTTTTTTTTTTTTTGAGATGACGTCGCTCTGTCGCCCAGGCTGGAGTGCAGTGGTGTGATCTCGGCTCACTGCAACCTCTGCCTCCCGGGTTCAAGCAGTTTTCTGCCTCAGCCTCTGGAGTAGCTGGGATTACAGGCACCTGCCACCATGCCCGGCTAATTTTTGTATTTTTATTAAAGATGGGATTGCATCATCTTGGCCAGTCTGGTCTTGAACTCGTGACCTCGTGATCCACCCACCTCGGCATCCCAAAGTGTTGGGATTACAGGCGTGAGCCACCACGCCCGGCCTAAGGGCTTAACATCTTAAGAGGAAAAAAAAAAGTCTAAATAACTGCAAATATAGAAAATAACTGTTGTAATACAAGTATTATATTTCAATACAGTGGCTTATTAGGATAGAAAAATGCATGGATCAACTGCCCAAATTCCTATGGCTTTCAGAGTTATCACAAAGCAGTATAGAATGCCCATGTGACGCCTTTAAAGATTTACAATTAAGTTGATTTTAGAGAACAACTAGAGAATACATAAACTGTAAAAATATAAAAACTTTAATGCTGTTAAAAAGAAAATAACAGCATATAAAGTTAAGTAACAGTGAATGCAATTTAAACAAAATTCCCCTAGTGATGGGAGGGGACATTATTGATGCTGTGGTAGAAATGTAGCTGTTAAGAATTTTGGAGGAAAGAAGTCCTTCTCTGAATCTTAGTATAGTGAGAAGAAAATGGTGCTGAAATGTTTCTTGACAGCCTGAGAGCAACATAATCTATTAAAAATGTTAGCGCCACTTTGGAGATACTTTGGATGGTGGGGTAAATGGAAGCTGTTGGGTTTGCAGTGTTGGTGCATTCTTAGTGAGTAATCCCCATCCTCTTTCATTTCCCCTGAGGAGAATCATGCTTGAAAAAGAATGGAGAAATAAATTATCCACCCATTGATTAGTAAGAGAAGTAGTTTTGTGAATTTATGAAGTTGTGGATAGGCTTTTGTTTTCCTAGCTATACAGGTGTTTGGAAAAATCTGCCCTTGGTATAAAAAACTGTTCAGAAACTTGTTATTACTCCAAGTGGGAGGAGAGATTGAATTGTGGTCTGAGTTCCTTATTCGATGTAAGTGTAAATATTTGTTGTGTATTTTATTTTTTCATTGAGTTTTTTTAGGTACTTGAAAGCTACTCTGAATATCATTTTCATAGTTGATTCATCTCTCAGTTGAACTATGGATGCTTTGAGGGGTATGAGGTATTTTGGGAGCCTGGGAGGCATCCTGTGTTAAGTATTCAGAATACGTTTCATGGTTTTTTAGGACGAGAGTATTGAGATACTAGTGCTAATAGGTAAATCATGGATGTTTTCCCCTTCATCCTTCACAGATTTAGAAGTCAGGTTTTAAATATTAGAGTTTATCTTCCCTTGAGGAAATAGGTTTAGATTTTGTATACTATAGCTGAACAAAAAGTGGTGCCTCAAGGAGTGTATTTATTTCTTTTAGATACCCCATGTTTTCCCATCACTCGAGGAGTCTGGGCAGAGACTGGACTACACCGTGGGAGAATCTGCAAAGGTGTTGCTGGAACAGACATATTTCTAGTTGTATGAGGTGGCCTGGACATTACTCTCAAGTTCCTTACCCATACTTCAGTAGTAGGCATTTTTCACTAAATTGGAGACCACCCTGTTTGTTTGAGTCTAGAACTCAGTTCCAGTACTGTAACTGGAGACCTGACAACCTGAGCCAGACATCTTTGATTCACCTCTCTAGTTACGTCATGAATGCTGAGGGAGATGAGCCTTCATCAAAACGAAGAAAACACCAAGGCGTGATAAAGCGGAATTGGGAATATATGTGTAGCCATGATAAAGAAAAAACGAAGATCCTAGGAGATAAAAATGTTGATCCCAAATGTGAAGACAGTGAGAACAAGTTTGACTTTTCAGTGATGTCCTATAATATACTTTCACAAGATTTATTGGAAGATAACTCTCACCTTTATAGACATTGCCGGCGGCCAGTATTACACTGGAGTTTTAGGTTTCCCAATATTCTGAAAGAAATTAAACACTTTGATGCAGACGTAAGTGGAAAATATTATTGAAATTCTTCACATCAGAACAAGTTGGGTTAAATGTTTCATTTGTGCATTATGGACCAAATGATTTTATCCGTCTTGTTTGACCCACCACGCCTGGCTAATTATTTAATTTTTTGTAGAGACAAGAAGGGAATATGTTTAAGAATAATGTGATGGAATCAGTCTTAATAAGGTATCATGACTTTCAGAGAGGCATTTGTTAGTGGTTGTTAGTATGAATAATCATCTAACTTTTCAAAAGGGTCCAAAGAATGGGTCAGTTTTGAGACAGAAACTGGCAACGTATTATTCAGTAAATATTAACTTTGAATTGAAGTTTCAGTAATTCATGTAAAAACCTGATAGCATTCAAAGAAATCAGCCTCTTAAGAGCTGAAAGATAGTACTAATGAACATGTAAAACCAGGAAAAATATCCTGACATGTAAGCTAAGATTATTTCCTTTGGGAAATAATAATTTTGAATACTAAAGGAGCTCCATGTGATTGAGGGCCAGAGTTTTGAAATCGATCAAATTTAGAGACATTAATTTAGTAGATCTATAACAAGAAAAAAGGATAAGTCTTTTATTTTAATTCTTACCAAGTGTGGAATTTTAGAAGGCTGCTTTTAGATATTTTAAGATAAAAGCACCAGGAAATTCATGTTTGCATCTCTGTGTTTTAATTCAAGCTATTTTTTTTCTTCCAAGGTACTTTGTTTGCAAGAAGTTCAAGAAGATCATTATGGAGCAGAGATCAGGCCAAGTTTGGAATCACTGGGTACAATGTAACTTTTTTTTTTTCTCTTTTGAGACAGTCTCACTCTGTGGCCCAAGCTGGAGTGCACTGGCGCAATCATGGCTCACTGCTGCCTCAACCTCCTGGGCTCAAGTGATCCTCTCATCCCAGCTTCCTGAGTAGCTGGGACTAGAGATGTGTACCACCATGCTGGCAATATAACTTTTATCTTAGCCAAATTTACTTTTGAAAATTCATGTGTCATTAAAATATAACTTGCTAACAAAAATGTGTGGCATATTTAGGCTAAAAATCTTAATTTTAAAAACTAAATTTCAAAAGGCCAGGAAAAGATTGAGGTATTCTATTGGAAAGTTTTATGTTGGTATATAATTCTAATTCAAACAAAACATGTATTAGAATCTCAGTAGTTCCCTTTCCTAGGAGTTGTTTGGCCTACCTCTAGACCTGTAAGATTCTGAGCTCCATGAGATCAGGGACCATTCTGTCTTGTTCATCATTACAATACCAGTGCCTACCAGCATATACCTAATGGATAAATGCCAAAAATCTGTTTGATAAATAAACGCTTCTAGAAACAAGTTATTTGTGGTCACATATCCTTGAGAAATGTGCCTACTTTGCATTTATTCATTCAGCAATTTTTTTTTTTTTGAGTGCCTGCCATATACCATGCACTGTTCTAAGGAGTGAGGATATAGCATTGGGTGAAAAAGATTTAAAAAATGTCTCCCGCCGGGCGCGGTGGCTCAAGCCTGTAATCCCAGCACTTTGGGAGGCCAAGGCGGGCGGATCACAAGGTCAAGAGATCGAGACCATCCTGGTCAACGTGGTGAAACCCCGTCTCTACTAAAAATACAAAACATTAGCTGGGCATGGTGGCGCGTGCCTGTAATCCCAGCTACTCAGGAGGTTGAGGCAGGAGAATTGACTGAACCCAGGAAACGGAGGTTGCGGTGAGCCGAGATCGCGCCAGTGCACTCCAGCCTGGGTAGCAAGAGTGAAACTCCGTCTCAAAAAAAAAAAATGTCTCCCTCTTGTGGGATGTACATTCTAGTGGAAAAAGGCTAACCAAATAAGTAAATAGCATATTAAGTAATGATATTTTTCTGGAGAAAAGCAGGAAAGTGGAATGTGGGAGGTTTGAATTTTAAACAAAATGATCAGACAAGGTGACATTTGAACAAAGATTTGAAGGAGATGAAGGAATAAGCCATGCCTAGAACATTCTACACAGCAGAAATAGCAAGGGAAAGGCCCTGAGTTTGGAGTGTATTAAGGGAAATGAGGAGGCCAGTCAGGTTGAAATGAAATGAGGGGAAAGCAGTTATAGGCAAAAAGATCAGGGATATAGGATGTAGAGAGTGAGAGAATAGATTATTATAAGGCTTTACTGTTATTACCATGACTGAGTTTTACTAGGATGGCAATGGGAGACTGATAATACACAGTAGCATATCTGAAGTCTACCCATAAAGAGGCCTGTTAGACCCATTGTCACATGTTTTTTTAATCCAATGTTTATTTACATCCTACATTACTAGTATTTTCAGAATATAGTTTGGTAAACATCGTTCAAACATATTAGGTGAGCTGTGTTTTGACAAATATGTAAAATAGTTGTTTTAAATTCATTTGTTTCTTATAGGTTATCACTGTGAATATAAGATGCGGACAGGAAGGAAACCTGATGGCTGTGCTATTTGCTTCAAACATTCCAAATTTTCACTCTTGTCAGTGAACCCAGTGGAATTCTACCGCCCTGATATTTCTCTGTTGGACAGAGACAATGTTGGATTAGTTTTACTCTTACAGCCCAAAATTCCATGTGCTGCCTCTCCTGCGATCTGCGTAGCAAATACGCATCTATTGTATAATCCAAGGCGAGGTGATATTAAGCTGACCCAATTGGCAATGCTACTGGCAGAGATTTCCAGTGTTGCCCACCAGAAAGATGGCAGCTTCTGCCCTATTGTTATGTGTGGTGACTTTAATTCTGTTCCTGGTTCTCCACTATATAGTTTCATAAAGGAAGGAAAATTGAATTATGAAGGACTTGCCATAGGAAAGGTAAGTGCTTGTTTCATTGGTGTTAGGAGGTGGACATAGTTGCTCTGCTCATGATTGTGTGAAGATAGTCATTACATGGCTGTTTGAAAACCTTGGATAATCCAGTACCCTCACTTTATCAAACTATGATGAATTTCCATGACTTAATTTTTTTTTGAGACAGAGTGTCGCTCTGTCGCCCAGACTGGAGGCTATAGAGTGTAGTGTCGTGATCTCAACTCACTGCAGCCTCCGCCTCCCGGGTTCAAGTGATTCTCTTGCCTCAGCCTCCCAAGAAGCTGGGATTATAGGCACCTGCCACCACGCCTGGCTACTTTTTGTATTTTTAGTATAGACGGGGTTTCACCATGTTGGCCAGGCTGGTCTCGAACCCCTTACTTCAAGTGAGCCACCCACCTCGGCCTCCCAAAGTGCTGGGATTACAGGCATAAGCCATTGTGCTCAGCCACTTCTGATAAGTAATTATTTTCACTTGGTTGATTTTCATCTTTTTCATCTCTCTGTGGCAACATACTGCTTGGAGGAATTAACAGGCATCCCCCCCACCCCCCAAAAAAGAGATATTGATAGACATGGATACTTAAATAAGTAACTATTCACAAGGTGGCAGTATAGAATTTTGAATGCTGGATATGGGCAAAATAGTTATTTAACATTTATTATGTAAGTTTCCCTTGCACAATAAATATTTTATTTAGCTTAGCACAATTTATCTCGTGTAATTATTTTTATTGTGCTTTCCTCTCCTTACTTTAGATTATTTGATCTTTAGTATATTTGCCAAAATAAGCTCTCCACCACTGGAGTTTTGAGTGATAGTTTAAAATTTTATAAGAGCTGATCTCTCTTAGTACAGGTTTACCTTGTTTTATTGTGCTTTGCTTTATCAAGCTTCACAGATACTGCATTTTACAAAATGGAAGCTTTGTAGCAACCCTGCCTTAAGCAGCTCTGTCGGCACCATTTTTCCAACAGCATGTGCTCAATTCCTGTCTCTGTCACATTTTGGTAACTCTTGCATTACTCAAACATTTTCATTATTATTATATCTGTTATGTTGATCTAGGATTAGTAATCTTTGATATTACTATTGTAATGGTTTTGGGGTGTTATGGACTGTACTCATGTAAAATGATGAACTTAATCGATAAATGTGTTCTGACTGTTCCACTAATCATCTCTCTCCCTCTACCTGGGCCTCTATATTCCCTGAAGCACAACAATATTGAAACTAAGCCAAGTAATGGCCCTGCAGCGCTCTCTAGGTGTTCAAGTAAAAGTAAGAGTCACATGTCTCACTTTGAATCAAAAGCTAGAAATGATTAAACTTAGCAAGGAAGGCATTTTGAAAGCCAAGACAGGCCAAAAGCTAGGCCTCTAGCACCAAGCAGCAAAGTTGTGAATGCAAAGGAAATGTTCTTGAAGAAAATTAAAAGTGCTATTCCAGTGTGTGAAGCCATAAGAAAGTAAAACAGCCTTATTGCTGATATGGAGAAAGTATGAGTGGTCTGGATAGAAGATCAAACCAGCCACAGCATTCCCTTCAGTCAAAGCCTACTCCAGAGCAAGGCACTACATCTCTTCAATTTTATGAAGACTGAGAGAGATGAGGAAACGGCAGAAGAGAAGTTGGAAATTAACAGAGGTTAATTTGTGACGTTTAAGGAATGAAGCGATCTCCATAACATAAAAAGTACAGTGAAAGCAACAAGTGCTGCTGATGTTAAAGCTGCAGTAGATTATCCAGAATATCCGGAAGATCTAGCTAAGATCATTGCTGAAGGCCGCTAAACTAAACAATACTTTTTTTTTTTTTCCTGAGATAGGTTCTCGCTCTGTTTCCCAGGCTGGAGTGCAGTGACACAATCTCGGTTCACTACAACCTTACCTCCTGGGTTCAAGAGATTCTGCCTCAGCCTACCAAGTATCTGGGATTATAGGTGCGTGCCTCCTTGCTGGGCTAATTTTTAAATATTTTTTGGTAGAGATAGGGTTTCACCATGTTGCCAAGGCCGGTCTCTAACTCCTGGGCTCAAGCGATCCTCCTGCCTCTCAAAATGCTGGGATTACAGGCGTGAGCCACCGCACCTGGCCAAAAATAGATTTTTAATATGGATGAAACCACTTTCTATTGCAAGGAGATGCCATCTAGGACTTTCATAGCTAGAAAGAAGTCAGTACCTGGTTTCAAAGGACAGGCTGACTCTTTTGTTAGGAGCTAATGTAGCTTGTTACTTTAAGTTAAAATCAGCATTTGTTGACCATTCCGAAAATCCTATGGCACTTAAAAATTATGTTAAATCTACTCTGCCTGTGCTCTGTCAATGGGAAAACAAAGCTTGGGGATGACCATACATCTGTTTATGGCACAGAATATTTTAAGCACACTGTTGAGACTACTCAGGAAAGCAGATTCTTTTCCAAAGATTAGTGTCCATTGACAAGGCACCTAGGTTACCCGGGAACTCTGATGAAGATGTACAAGGAAATGAATGTTGTTTCATGCCTGCTAACACAGCATCCATTCTGCAGCCTATTGACTCAAGGAGTAAGTTTGTGCTCACAGGTTCCCTTACTTGAGAGATACATTTCATAGGCTGTAGCTACCATAGAAGCGATTTCTCTGTGGATCTGGGGAAAGTAAATTGAAAACCTGGAAAGGATTCAGCATCCTAAGTGCTATTCAGAACATTCGTGATTCATGGGAGGAGGTCAAAATATCACCATTTAAAGGAGTTTGGAAGAAGTTAATTCCAACCTTCATGATGACTCTTAGAGGTTCAAGACTTCACTGGAGAAAGGAACTGTAGATGTGGTAGAAATAGCAAGAGAACTAGAATTAGAAGTGGAACCTAAAGAAGTAACTGAATTGTTTCAATCCCATGATAAAACCTAAATAGGTAAGGAGTTGCTTCTTATAGATGAGCAAAGTATTTTCTTGAGATGGAATCTACTTCTGATGAAGATGCTGTGAATATTGCTGAAATGACAATAAAGGATTTTAAATGTTACATAAATTTAGTTGATAAAACATTGGCAAGGTTTCTGACTTTGAAAAAAGTTCTACTGTGTATAAAGTGCTGTCAAACAGCATCACATTCTACAGAAAAATCTTTTATGAAAGGAAGCATCAGTGGCTGCTGCAAATTTCATTTTTGTCTTATTTTAAGAAATTGCCACAGCCAACCCCCAACCTTCCAGCAACCATCATACTGATCAACCAGTAGCCATTAATATCTAGTCAAGGCCCTCCACCTGTAAAAAGATGATGACTAACTGAAGGCTCAGATGATTGTTAGCATATTTAACAAAGTATTTTTAAATTAAGGTATTTATTTTCTTAGGCATAATGCTATTGCGTATTTAGTTAACTACAGTATAGTATAAACACAACTTTTATATGCACTGAGAAACTGAAGAAATTATGTGACTTGCTTTATTGAGATACTTTATTGTGGTGGCCTGGAACCAAACTGCAGTATCTCTGAGTATGCCTGTATTTGGTACAGGCTATATTGCAGGCAGTAAAAATGAATGGGCAGTATTAGTCCAAAGCGATAGATCATTTGTATGTCCAAATTAGAGAAAAACATGTATGGGAAAAAGATTGTCATTTTATGTAAATGATGATTGTATTTGAAGAAAAGAAGATTTTATAAAGTCAAATAATCACTTAATATAATGAATAAAGGGTAATATTTACCACTTTTGGATTACCTTTTATTTAAGACATAAACTTTTCAATTCATAAGCTATTTAAAATCTATTCACTTAAGACACCTGTTGAAATTTTGTTTAGGTATCTGGCCAGGAACAGTCTTCACGGGGACAAAGAATTTTATCTATTCCAATTTGGCCCCCAAACCTAGGTATCTCACAGAACTGTGTGTATGAGGTACAGCAGGTACCAAAAGTAGAAAAGACAGGTAAGTGTTTGTAATACATTTTGGCAGTCTGCTGGGTAATCATGTTCCCTTTGAAGACATAAAACTAAGTTTTTAAAAAGATAAAATCTCAGGGATGAATATTCATATATAAAAATATATAGTTAGTCATTCTTTTTCTTAAGACCTCTAAATTTACCTTTTTAAAGTTGAACTTCCAGAATTATCTGTGCATGATTTACTTGCATGTTGCTTTGGAATCGTTTGCATTTTATTTTTCCTAATTATGGAGTCCATAGAAATATATAGATTCCAGAATGAAACATGTAACTAGACATCTTTCTAACCTAGATAAGTCTTAAATATTGTTTCTAGAGTAAGATGATGCTCCTAAGGCAAACTAGAACAAAACTATATAAATAACATATTTTCCTCTATTCTTACAGATAGTGATCTGACACAAACACAGCCGAAGCAAACAGAGGTCCTAGTGACAGCTGAAAAGTGAGTTCTGAAAAGCAAAAGTAAACATTTGCTAACTGCAGTTGACTGAAAAACTCATTTCTCAAAAATCACTTGGATAAAAAAATGAAGGCGATAATATTCCTTGCTGGTGAAGAGTGCTGGCTCTTAGGTCAAATAGGCCTGAGTTCCAGTCCTGACTCTACTATGTTTTAGCTGAATGATTTTGGGCAAGAAACTTAACATCTTTGAGGTCCAGTTTCTTTGTCTATAGTTTGGGTTGTTATGAGGATTAGATGAGACAAAGCATGTAAAGCACAATGTTTGAAACATAGTTAAGTGCCTAGGTAGTGTTAGGAAGGGAAACAGCCTGTCTGTTTCAAAGAGCTCAGGTACTCTTTGAAATTCACATATTTAAGCAAAGGTCAAGATCACAGAAAAATATCTTTCAGATATCAGAGGATCTTTAGTTGTCTTTAATTTACCAAATCTCAAAATAGGCTATAAGACAACTGATCCAAAAATGAATATGCCAGTTGAAAAGATGATCATTTTAATTTATCTCTTGAACAATAGGAAAAAATTGTCAGAGGGGTAAAGATGCTGGGATTCTTCATTAAAGAAATAAGCATATTTGGGGCTATGGTTGAAAAATGGATACATGTCAATACAACAGGACAGAGACTTAAATCTATCTCTAGAAGATGCTTGAAATATCTTGATTGTTTTATATTGTGGCTCTTTTACAGTTTTTTAACATTTAAATTTAAGAACCAAATTTCATTCATTTTATTTGCTTCTCAATCTTACTTTATTTTGTATACCTTGTTTTGAGAAAATATTACTGTACAAATAAGAACTAGTAAGAATGGAAGCAATTTTAAAAAAAATTTTTAATGAATATTTAAAAATTCATAATTAAACCTTTCAATCTAGTATAAACTTATTTGAGTATGATTAATGAAGGAGGCTAATCTAACAAATACTTAGTTTTGAGTAATTCTTAAATATTTTTATAACAATATAGGATAGAAAACAGATACTGGCTGGGCGTGTTGGCTCACGCCTGTAATCTCAGCACTTTGGGATGCCAGGGCGGGAGGATTGCTTGAGCCCAGGAGTTTGAGATCAGCCTGGACAACATAGTGAGAACCTGCCTCTATTAAAAAAAAAAAGAAATTAAAAATAAAACAGTCTGGCCAGGTACAGTGACTCATGCCTGTAATCCCAGAACTTTGGTAGGCTGAGGCCGGTGGATCACCAGGTCAGGAGTTCAAGACCAGCCTGGCCAAGATGGTGAAACCCCGTCTCTACTGAAAATACAAAAAATTAGCCAGGCGTGGTGACAAGTACTGTAATCCCAGCTACTCAGGAGGCTGAGGCAGAGAATTGCTTGAACTGGGGAGGTGGAGGTTGTAGTGAGCCAAAATCGCACCATGGCACTACAGCCTGGACTGGGCAACAGAGCAAGACTCCATCTCAAAATAAATACATAAAAATAAAACAAAAAATAAAACGGCTATCTTGCCCTTTGTGTCTAAAAATTAAAAGAAAAAAACGTACTTTTTAGTATCTGTATATAAATACAGCATAATCATATGCATAGCTTATATCTATAAAAGGAAAATTGATAGTAAAGAGTTTGCAGAAGACCTGTTTGTGTTTATTATTTTTATTTTTGAGAGTCACTCGCTCTCTGTCGTCCAGGATAGAGTACAGTGGCATGATCTTGGCTCACTGCAGCCTTGACCTCCCAGGCGCAAGAAATTCTCTTACCTTATTTTTCTAGTAGCTGGGACTATAGGCATGTGCCACCATGCACAGCTAATTTTCCTGATTTTTTGGTGAGGGGTAGAGATGAGGTCTCACTCTGTTGCCTAGGCTGGTCTTGAACTCTTGAGCTCAAGCAATCTTCCCGCCTTGGCCTGTCAAAGTGCTGGGATTACAGGTGTGAGCCACTGCACCCGGCCCTATTTATGTTTAATATTATAAATATAAGTTCTTAGACATAAAAAGTTGCTGAAACTGAGGGCATTTTTAAGGATTTACCTTTGTTCTTGACATATGAACACTTTAAAAGCAAAGGAAACATCTTCATCTCTGTATTCTCAGCACCTGAGATAGTACCTAGAACTTAGAAGATGTTTGGTAAATGTTTGTTGTTAAATTTTTTAAATTTTTAAGTATTTTACTTTCCTTCTAGGTATAAAAGATCCTTAAGATTCATAAAGTATCACTAGAAAATGATCTTTAAACCCTTTACTCATAACATTACATGTATTATATTTGTGCATAGGGCAAATGTAATAAACCATTAGAGAAGCTATTTAAGATGCAGTACAAAATTATCTCATAAGTCATAGCAAGAAAAATTAGAGAAGAATATGACCTCTCTGTCATCAAAAGTCTGGGAGGTTCCAAATAGCGCTCCTGAAGACCACCTTGATTCTCTTTTTTTAAAAACACAAACTTGTAAGTTGTTTTAGAATACATGTTCTTTAGTTAGTGGATGCATTCAAATATATTATAAATAATGAAAACACGCATTAGTATGTTAATTATTGAGCTTTTTTTAAACCCACAAGTATAATGGCCTTATTGATGGGTTTTAGATATCACTGCATAAGTAAATGAGTACTAAATTATGATATGGTCTATTTAAATAAATATCTGGTCTTAATCTAGAAGATAAATGAAAAAGAACTTCAGATAGGAGGAATTCTAGAAGTTACAAAAAACTTGGATACTAAACACTTCTTCCTTTCAATTTAGATTATCTTCAAATTTGCAGCACCATTTCAGCTTGTCATCTGTTTATTCACATTACTTTCCTGACACTGGAATTCCAGAAGTGACCACCTGTCATTCCCGAAGTGCCATAACTGTGGATTATATTTTCTACTCTGCAGAAAAGGAAGATGTTGCTGGGCACCCAGGTAAGGAATGCATGTAATCTTAATTCTGCTAGAGAGCACAGTAGCCGAAACCTCAAGATTAAAATTAAGAAAGCTCTCTAAACATACAGTTGAAGTTCTAGATCTAGAAAGTAAAAATATTTTGAAACAGACAGATTGGTAATATATTTGAATAAATCAGTTGATTACTTGCATATGAGGGAAGTAATAAAACATATCCAAGCAATTATTACCCATGAATTACATTCTCAGTCCTGCCCTCCAGTTTCAGTCAGCCTCTGAGTTACAGATCTTTCATATTGCCCTTTCTTTTTACTTGCCATAAATTTACTGTTTTTCCTGTGACAGAAACTGAGTATGTTAATGGTCATCATAGTTTTGTGCTTAAATTTTACTGAGGCGTGCTACCTTCATTGTAGGACCATACTTATGCTGCTAGCAACACAGCTTATGCTGTCATGTTGATTCTGGAATATTGGATTTTTCTGAGGAGGAAATGTATATATGCATATATACTTTTAAAATATATATATAAAAATAAATAAATATATATATATATACACACACACACACACACACACACACACACACACACACCTGTTTTTTTTTTTTTTTTTTTTTTTTGAGACAGTCTCATTGTGTTACCAGGCTGGAGTGCAGTGACTTGATTCTTGGCTCACTGCAACCTCTGCCTCCCAGGTTCAAGTGATCTTCCCACCTCAGCTTCCTCAGTAGCTGGGACTACAGGCATAAGCCACCATGCCCACCTAATTTTTTTATTTTTTTGTAGAGACAGGGTTTCACCATGTTGCCCAGGCTGGTCTCTAACTCCTGAGCTCAAGCAATCCATCTGCCTTAGCCTCCCAAAGTGGCTTGGATTACAGGCATGAGCTACCACATTTGGTCAGAAAAATCGATATTGTATTACTAGGTGTTTTCAAAAAGTGAAGGTGCTAAAAAGGTTTTCTTTGTGTGCGTCAATGAAAATCAGGTTTTAAACATTAACCAAAGGATTTAAAGTGGAGAAGAAAATGCAGTTTAAGATTACTGGAAGTAAAAAAATTAAGAAAACTTTGGAATGTGATCAGCTGTTTTTTTTCTTTTCTAATTTTTTTTTTGTCTTCCTTTTTTTGATGCTTCTTTTCCTTTACCCTTTTCCCTATTATTTGTTCCCCCCTTCTTTCTTCTGGGAATAACCTTATTGGTAACACTCAGAAGGTGGCTTACTCATGCCACTAGCTACTCTACAAGATATGCCTGCTGCTTTGAATTTATAGTAAGGTTTTGATAGTTGTCATACTGACAGAAGTTCACTAGGTGGCGGGCGAGTGTTACGGATCAGCATTTCAAATCTCAACGATAAGAGCATGTCATCTTTTACTCTGCTTCTGTGGGTGCTGACTCTCTGGGACTAAATTATACTAATTTATTCTCCATTCACCTTAATCAGCTTTTACAGGGCCGTGGCTGGGTGCCTCTGGCTTAATGCAGCTACACAGTGGCTGCTGGATGAATTTCTTATGTAGTTGTCAAGCACAAATTTTACTCTTAACATTCTTTTTTTGTTTGTTTTTTGGGTTTTTTTGAGATGGAGTCTCATTCTGTCGCCCAACGAGGAGCGCAGTGGCATAATCTCAGCTCACTGCAACCTCTGCCTCCCGGGTTCAAGCGATTCTCCTGCCTCAGCCTCCTGGGTAGCTGGGATTACAGATGCCTGCCACCACACCTGGCTAATTTTTGTAGTTTTAGTAGAGATGAGGTTTTACTGTGTTGGCCAGGCTGGTCTCAAACTCCTAACCTCGTGATCCACCCTCCTTGGCCCCTCCCAAAGTGCTGGGATTACAAGGGTGAGCCACTGCTCCCAGCCTCTAAACATTCTTACGTATTACATTTATGTTTTCTTCTAAAGATTGTTTACAGAGCTTGAAATAGAAAAAATATCTCAAACTGCTGTGTGTTTGGTAATTATAATTAGGTTATAACTCAATAAAGCTTAAATATTCTAAAAACTGTTTTGTGGTTTTTTAGTCTTCTTGAGGGACGTCAAGTTCTGTATTTGTTTGGAGAAAAGACTTGTTTGGTTAATTTACGATAACCTGTTGACAGTTTTACTAAATATGTATTTGCTTCTTTAATATAGGAGCTGAAGTTGCTTTGGTTGGTGGCTTGAAACTTCTAGCTAGACTGTCACTTCTTACAGAACAAGACTTATGGACTGTTAATGGACTTCCAAATGAAAATAACTCTTCAGATCATCTGCCATTATTGGCAAAGTTCAGACTTGAGCTCTGACTCTGCTTTGATCACATACTAATTTTCTTTCCAATTTGTATTGTTTTTCAAAGAATGTAAAGTTCTTAAGTGTATGCATGTTGTTTATTTTTGCACTGTGGAGTTTCTGAAGAGGTTAACGTTAGATGCTTTGAAACTCCATATCAGAACAAACAACTTTATAACCATTTTTTTAATAATGAAAAAATATTTTCCTGACAAGTGAGATCTAAATACTCTTTATTGTAAAAGAGCTGTAAAGGTTTTGTATTCTAAATCCTAGTAAAATTGACAGTGATTTTTAATTATAATGCATCTTCCTTTGTCTGCTTAGTAAACAATTTTATTTCATAATTTTGGCAAGCTCTAGTGGATCCAGAGTATCTTTGAGTTCTTGCAAGCTACAAGTTGTTTCCTTCCCAGAAGGTTTGATTTCATTAGGAGTACCCTCTACTGAGTTCTCAGTAGTTTATCTTTGGAAGAAGGTGGCAGCTATAAAATTATTTTTGTTATCCTCAGAAATATGAGGAAGCCTGTGAAACTCTAGTGGGGAGATATTAACTTGAAGACTTAGTACTCTGTAAATAGTCATTTAAACTGTTGGTTTTAGTGGTTTTGTTTCTAAAATGTTTTCTTTTACAGTGATGCATCAGCGTGAGATGGTGCTGACGCTTTCTATGAAGTGGTTATGAGCAGGTTTAATCCTCTATACAAGTGTTTGAATCAATTTTAAAACTTAAAAAGTGGAAATTCCCTCTTTTGTAGACAGTAGGAACAAGGAATTGTATGCATTTTTACTAAGTAGTAATTTTACACTGAATTATAAAGTTTTTACAATGAGTTTTATTAATAGAATGCTTCATCTTAAATTGGAAAACAATAATAGTCTTGGACTAAGTCTTTGTACTAAAGCATTTGCTCTAATTATTTTTTTAAAAACAAACAGGTGAAAGCCTCAAAGAAGGCCTGTGGCTTATAAGATTTGCCTAGTAAAAACTGTAGTTGAATGTTTAAATATTTAATTTCTCACTTTTCAGGGGGGGTTATTTTTTTATTTTTTAGATGGAGTCTCACTCCATCACCCAGGCTGGAGTGCAGTGGTTCGATCTTGGCTCACTGCAACCTCCTCCTCCTGGGTTCAAGCAGTTCTCCTGCCTCAGCCTCCCAAGTAGCTGGGGTTACAGGTGTGCACCATCACACCCAGCTAATTTTTGCATTTTAGTAGAGATGGGGTTTCGCTGTGTTGGGCAGGCTGGTCGTGAAATCCTGACCTCAATTGATCCACCTGTGTCAGTCTCCCAAAGTGGTGGGATTACAGGCGTGAGCCACCACACCTGGCCTTTAGGATGTTTTTAATTACAGTATTAACTATAGTTCCAGGATTCTTCCACATTTTATAGTAATAGTTTGCAGAATATTATATGCCCTAATTAGCAGATACACATATTATTAAATTACAGTGATAGTATAATTACCCCTTTTTAGTATTGGGGAAAAAAATGAAAATTCATTAGTTAATTACTGCTTTGTGTTGTGTGAATTTATTAACAAATAGCATTATTATAATGGGCCACTGTTAACAAATGAGTATCCCTGAAAACCTCTGTGAAAATTTAATTTTTTATATCCTGATTAAATATTGTGACTTGAGGCCCAATTTTCATGTGCTTCACCTTGATAGAGGTTAATCCATAAAATTGCTCTCTACTTTAGCTTATCAAATGAAGTATTATTTTGTGGACTGGAGGCCAAAAAGTCAATGTGAACTTCTCACGGGTTTTTAAATCTCCACTAAAAATAATTATCCATTTGTCTTTACTATTGTTGACCAGAATAGTTGCTAACTCTGCCAGAGCCTGTACTTACCTGCCAAAAGAATTAAATCTGGTTAACTCCTGAAACCAAATCTCTCCGACTCAAGTGTTATGCTATCCAATTTTTTTTTTTTTTTTTTTTTTGAGACGGAGTCTCGCTCTGTTGCCAGGCTGGAGTGCAGTGGAGCGATCTTGGCGCATTGCAACCTCCGCCTCCCGGGTTCAAGCAATTCTTCTGCCTCAGCCTCCCGAGCAGCTGGGACTATAGGGCATGCCACCATGCCCGGCTAATTTCTGTATTTTTTAGTAGAGACAGGGTTTCACCATGTTGGCCAGGATGGTCTCGATCTCTTGACCTGGTGATCTGCCTGCCCGGGCCTCCCAAAGTGCTGGGATTACAGGCATGAGCCACCGCGCCCAGCCAACTATTCAAGTTTTAAATGGAAAGGCAAACTGTGGAGTAATGAAATTTTGGTTTTACTGTACCTTTTGCTATCAAAATAATATGCATGTTTGGAATCTTGTCTTTATTTGGAATTTAGCTACTGTCTGCATTTAACCATTTGCTTTCCTAAGGAAAGTTAGTGATCCAGAGAGTTCAAAGGATTGGGGAAACAGAGGTGTCAAGTCACTTGCACTTTGTACCTGTAAGTTATGTAATAAATCATTATACTGCTACTTCTGTGCCTGAAGGTTTTGTGGTAGGTATACTGAGCTGTATAGGCTGTTCTGTTGCCTGTACTAAACTGTTTCATTGCCATTTTCAGCCATTTTTACTTAGTGATGCTAAAAGATAAGTGAATTAAGATGTGTCAAAATAGAGTAATAGAGGAGTTTTAATATAGAGCCTGTGGATTGTGAAAGAAGGGTGAAAGAATCATAAATAGGTTCACTAGAATAAGTAATCAGAGGACCAAAAAACTCACACCATCTTACATATTTAGAAGCAAAACAATCCTTAAGTTTCCAAGATGGTTTTATTCAAGTCCCATGCTGTGTTAGAAACATACAAGTGATGAGAAAAACATTAACTTGAAGCATGCAGTTATCTGGCATTCTCTAAAATACCATTATACAAGTTTTCATTTACTTAGAAAAATACCCACTAAAACAATCACAGTTCTTTTTAAAGATTTAAAAAAAAATGTATTGGCCAGAACAAAGTCCAAGAGATAAACAAAGTTCTGAATTGTATGTCAAAAAAACTGTACAGGGTTGTACATAAAACTATAGCTTACAAAAGCCTCAGGTATAGTAAGAATTCTGAATTAAGATTTCCAAAGTTCTATTTACCAATATTTATTAATAAAATCCTTATGAAATAATTGACTTAGAAAAAGTGAAATGCTCATGATTTCAGAGTGTATAGAAAATACTAAATATCACTTTCTGAAATAAAGTGTACTCAAAACAGCACAACATATAGTCTAAAATCAAGATTTCTGTCATTCATTTAAACTTTGCATGTATTGCCAGGGTGGCCTAAACATAAAATTTCACCTGCAGTAATAACTTTTTAAAAATGATTTCAAATCACTTCACAGTTTTATATTTTGAATTCTAGCCAGTCTTAAAATCAGCTTTGGGATGGGGTGCATAAAACATGTTGGGTTTTTTTCCCCCTTAATTATTGCACTAGAATTTAGGGGTTTGGTGCCTTTCCCATATTTTTTTAGAAATTAACATATTCCATAGGCAATAAAAGTAGAATGACAACTAAGAACATTTTAAATGTACTTTCATGTTTGTGTGACTAAAACTTGCTTTGGGAAAATTGGTCTGAAAATCAAGGAGTGGATGTGGAAGAAATTAGCTTACCAATTGAACCATCAATCCCATTGGCAATTTTAAGGCTTCTATATCAGCATATTACAGAGTTTATATTCCTGTTATTTTCCTGCTTGTGGGAAACAAGCCATGCAACCATTTGACATTCTGTATTTTAGATGTAACAGTACTTAATACTTGGTAAAAATAAATTCCAACTTTTAGAACGGTTTCAGTGTTATAAGAGTTCTACTTATTAGATGTAATCAAATTTCAGATTGATAAACAGAAGGTACATGGCTAAAGCAGTATTGTTTTAGAATAAAATGATTCACTGACTATTTCAAACATCTGAATACATCTGGCCAAGAAGCCCGCAAATGGGTTTGCTGTGTGAAGATAAACGGATTTTAAACTCTGATAATACTGTTCTTGAAGAGATTAAACTGAGAATTTTTAACCCTGTGCTGCATTTTTTTTTTTTTTTTTTTTGAGATGGGGTCTTGATCTGTCGCCAGGCTGGAGTGCAGTGGCTCAGTCTCGGCTCACTGCAAACTCCGCCTCCTGGGTTCAAGCGATTCTTCCGCCTCAGCCTCCCAAGTAGCTGGGACTACAGGCATGTGCCACCACGCCCAGCTAATTTTTGTATTTTTAGTAGAGACGGGGTTTCACCATGGCCAGGATGGTCTCGATCTCTTGACCTCATGATCCGTCAACCTTGGCCTCCCAAAGTGCTGGGATTACAGGCGTGAGCCACGGCGCCCAGCCTGTGCTGCATTTTAATCAAATGGAGATGTATAGTTGGTCTTGTTCATCTAAAGGACATTAGACTTCTTTTTTTAAGAAAACAGTACTTTTCATTAATAATATTGATTTTTAGGGTGAAGTAAGCTCTTGTGCACATAGCTGAAGGATGAAGTCCTTTTGTTTTCCATGTAATCTCCAGAAATCTTGTAAAGAATTGGTAAAGAATCTCAATAAGCAGATTTTTTTTTAACTCCCTTCTTATAAATACCTTCAGTCAAAGCCAGAGGAGATGCACTGAGACTGAAAAAACATTTGTTGACTCCCAGACTTCACTTAAGTCGGCAATTTGGTCTCATGAGTTGGCATTATTGCTAAGATAAAGCAAATGAAATTGAAGCTGTACTCTTGATATTTATACCATACAAGACTATGCTGTTAGGGCTGTCCTGTGTGGTCTGCAGCCAGAGGTTACACTGTAACTACCATATGCAGGCCAGACATTCATTCTGTGCTTAGGGACTGAATCACACTATAAGGTGTAACACTAGACCGGAAGACTTTTCCATTAAAACAAAAAGTTCTGCTTTTCTAATTCATTATATTTTCCAATATTTGTTCCTAAAATATCATGAAATGGTACCTAAAAGCAAGGTACTGGAAGATCATCACATCATGTCACATTTGGTCTTAATATAAGACATCAGAACACATCTTTAACAACATTGAGCCCTCCCTTAGTTTGATTCTTTGTGTCCTTCAGGAGAATCAAAGCCTGCCTCAGTTAAAAATCAGATGAAATGTGAACAGAAAGGTTATTTGGTTCTGAAGACCTGCTGATCACTCCTGGTCTCTTTGCCTGAGTGTGTTACTGTCAGAGGTAATCCAGTACTGCTAAATTTGTGTAATAGTGCATGACCTCTTGTGCTTTTTGCTAGATTCTGCAAAGCTTAAATGTTAGTGACAGAACATAGACTAGCTTCTCAATGTGATATTTTTGTTTCGTTTTAAAAAAACAAAAACATCAGTGAATGCCTTAAAAAAGATTAAGGAGGAAGTAACTCCAAGATCCTGAAAATGGTTCTTGTATTGCCAGAAGAATTTCAGTGCTTTTTAGTAAAACACTTGCATATAACACCTTAAATCTCATCATGTGTGTACACCAGGAAATACTCCAAGCTTGTGGAGATCCCCATGGGAAATGCTGGGGAAAGAATACAAATAGAATATAAAAAAACAAAAACCACCGTTAAGTTTGCATATCTGATGTCAAAATGCTGAGGTAATATTAACTGCTTAAAAAAACCCACCCATTTTTGCTTTCTGTTATTGCTGAAAAAGACAGTGATACTGTTTGAGCCACCTTACTATACCAAAAGTTCAAGAGATTATTTCATGAACGTTTACTATCGGCGAGGCATAATGTTCAAAGCAAGTAAAAGAAAGTAGGTAAATGGAAAAATATAAAACGACAGTTATGGTTGTTATCCTTAAGATCTTGAGTGAGGGACACAGTCCAACCCCAGTGGGGTTTATTACTTCAGCCTTGTCATGGTGCCTCTTAGTAAATTTTTTAAAGCTAATGGCTACCACCCACTCAGATTCTATTTCCAGGCGAATCCTTAAAAATAAAATTCATAAGTTCTTAATAAATAGTTGCAGTTCCTCCTGAAGATGCTGGGTAAAGTGCGGAGAGAAGCACCACCGAAACCCTCTTGCTGGCCAGTATGGCTTGGCTAAATTCGGATTTGATAGCCTACTTCATTCAGAGTGCTCAGATCAGCCACCTTCTTTTCAGGCAGTGCAGGCCTAAGAGTAAAGACAGAAATATGGTGGAGAGGGGATAGGACAAAGAAAGGTAATTGAGCACTTTCAAGGGCCTCTACTCGTTTTTACTAACACTTCTCATATCGGTCCCGTCCTCCCATTCCCCCACCCTGCCAGCCGTAGCTCTCACCTCTACTTCTTGTTCTCAAGTCCACCTTTAAAGGTTTTAAGGAACATTTTAACAGACTTTCAGTGTAGCGTTCAGTAAAGTTTTCAGGGTGTTGAATGAGCTTTTGCAGCTTTAAGCCTGAATTTGGTCACACTGTAACTCTTGAAACCCAATACCCTTGAACCTTGCAAGGGTCTAAAAGTCGCATACACTATAGTAGAGCCAACGATCTGAGTCAAATTCTCCTTGAAACACTGGCTTCCCAGTGTTTGTGCCCTGGAGGAAGCACAGGAATCAAAGGTGACTCGGGCTCCCAGGGAGAGGGTTAATGTTCTAGGCTTGAATGTATAAAATCAAGGTGAATCTTAGTATTCATCTGAAAAAGCATGTCAGTGTGGAAAATCACTCAGTGGCAAATCATCTCTTCCCTAAAAACGTGCTAAAGTCATTTCCAACATAAAGCTGAAACTAAGCAATTATATAAAGTCATCTGAGAAAGTACCTTAAGCTGGGAATAAAAACATTTGGTAGCACATCATCTGTCTTCAATAAAGACACATCCTAAATGACTTCCAATATACAACTATGCCTAAACGATCTCACAATTTATCTTACAACTTTTCCTTTTTTTTTTTTTTTTGAGATGGAGTCTCACTCTGTCACCCAGGCTGGAGTGCAGTGGCATGATCTCAGCTCACTGCAACCTCTGCCTCCAGAGTTTAAGCAATTATCCTGCCTTAGCCTTCTGAGTAGCTTAGATTACAGGTACCTGACACCACGCCTGGCTAATTTTTATATTTTTAGTAGAGATAAGATTTCAGGCCGGGCGTGGTGGCTCACGCCTGTAATCCCAGCACTTTGGGAGGCCGAGGTGGGTGGATCACGAGGTCAAGAGATCGAGACCATCCTGGTCAACATGGTGAAAACCCGTCTCTACTAAAACTACAAAAAATTAGCTGGGCATGGTGGCACGTGCCTGTAATCCCAGCTACTCAGGAGGCTGAGGCAGGAGAATTGCCTGAACCTAGGAGGCGGAGGTTGCGGTGAGCCGAGATCGCACCATTGCACTCCAGCCTGGGTAACAAGAGTGAAACTCTGTCTCAAAAAAAAAAAAAAAAAAAGATTTCAGCATGTTGGCCAGGCTGGTCTTGAACTCCTGACCTCAGTCTGCCCGCCTCAGCCTTCTAAAGTGCTGGGATTACAGGCATAAGCCACCGCATGGATTACAGGCCATTAAGAAGTGGCCTAACTTTTCCATTTCTTAATGAGCCTCCTCACCTTTGATAAGAGAACACTGAGATCATGAATCAAGTTTAGGATGTTCAATATGGGTTGTGAGCTCTAATTCAAAAGTTTCACATCCATTTTTGCAAGAAAATCAAAGACAGGTTATATATGAACCTTGTTTTTATTTTTTTGAGTTGGAGTTTCGCTTTTGTTGCCCAGGCTGGAGTGTAGTGGTGCAATCTCTACTCACTGCAACCTCTGCCTCCCAGATTCAAGCGATTCTCCTGCCTCAACCTCCCGAGTGGCTGGGATTACAGGCATACCCAACTAATTTTGTATTTTTAGTAGACACGGGGTTTCACTATGTTGGTCAGGCTGGTCTCAAACTCCTGACCTCAAGTGATCCACCCGCCTCGGCCTCCCAAAGTGCTGGGATTACAGGCATGAGCCACCGCGCCCAGCTAAAACTTGTTCTTAAAAAATAAAAATTTAAATTTAAAAAAGGCCAGGCTGGGTGCAGTGGCTCATGCCTGTAATCCCAGCACTTTGGGAGGCTGAGGCTGGATCAACTTGAGGCCAGATGTTCAAGACCAGCCTGGCCAGCATGGTGAAACCCCATCAATACTAAAAATACAAAAAATTAGCTGGGCGTGGTGGTACACGCCTGTAGTCCCAGCTGAGGCAGGAGAATCGCTTGAACCTGGCAGGTGGAGGTTGCGGTGAGCCAAGATTGCGCCACTGCACTCCAGCCTGGGCTACAGAGCAAGACTGTCTCAAAAAAAAATAGACCAAATGAAAATATTCTTGTCAGAAGCTTTCTTAGTTTATGCCCTTAAAAGATTTCCTAACAGCTAACGGTTTTTCCCTGGCATAAAAGTGGTCCAACTCATTCAATGTTGATAGAACTAGAAATCAACAGCTATCTTGTGTCTAAAGCACAGCTCAGTGAATGGCATTAATCTCTGCCACCAATTCCGCTACCCCTTCTCTCTTCCTCTCTCTCTCTCTCTCTCTCTCTCTCTCTGTCTGAAATGGGAAGGAACAGTCATCAACAGTCTGATCATCCCCTCTGAAACCTGACTGCTTAACTACTCAAGAAATCGTCCCTGACTAGGCACTACATAAATAACTTGTAACCTTATTTCTCTGTTGCATGGGCCTTATTTCTCAGCTTGACCATTATCAGTCAGGAATTATCCCTCTTATTTCTTTGTGTCTCTTCCCACGGCGCCTGGGACACACACATGATGCTAATTAACACTGCCAACTGCCAGTAGAAATCCCAGCACTTCTGTGTGTAGACTCTGGCTCATTGTTTCAGAGCTCAAGGCTTCCAGCCGTCAGGGGATGGTGTCCTCCAGTCTCTGCAGGCCCCAGAGATGAGCTGTTCTCTTAAACAAAGCCACTGCTACAGGCCTGGAGGAGTGGCCCCCAGAGGACACTATGAGGATCATTCTTGGGTTGATAGCAAAAGGAACACACATTTGCTTGGGGATTCAAACTTAAAATTCTATTCGTACCCTAGCCCTCAGCCCACTAATGTGGAGAGAACCAGGGTTCTTACACACAAGTCAGGTTTAGAGAGTCCGTATGCAGCTGGATCTCTCCTAAAGCCTGAAGTGAAGCCCCCATTGCCTCTCCTTGCCTGAGGTGCTGTCATCTTTACAAATAGCTAATTTGAGACTTTCTCTCTCAAGTAGACTCCCCATAAATTAGCATCAGCCTGATGCAAATGTGGTTAGAAAGGTAAATCACTTCACAGTGTGCCTCACTTTTAGAAAATTCAGCAATTAAAAATTCAACTTGCCTGCAGGAAAAGGCAAAAGGATAAGCCTGCAGTATCTATATGCACTCCTTTGTTTAGAAAAAGATTAAATTCGGGTCTTTTTTTTTATACCTCTCTGATGCCTGGGAATGCGGGTCATTTCTTAGAGCTAGTAAAATATGATTTCCACACTGCCTTTCTGCTTTTGTAACTAGGTAGGCATATATTTCTTATCCAAATATAAACTACATTTGTATTAGATGATTTTCGTAACTGATGTATCTAACGATCTGTGTGTGGCAGGGTCTATTAATTGCCCCTCAACATCCACTCGTTCCTTCTTTAGTAAACACCCCTCTCCCATCCCGATTTTTAGCCAGGTGCATAGCTGCATTGAATACAAAGTACATCTTCCAGCCACCCTGTACCCAGGCATGGCCTCTGACTAAGTTGTAGCCAGTGAGATTTAAATTTAAATTTAAATTTAAATTGCGGTGTGACAGTTAGCAGGACAGCTCTTCAAAAGACAACTGGCATGTGCCCTTCATCTTTTTCTTTCCCTTGTTCTTCCTGCTGATGGAAACATGGAAGTGACGGCTGGAGTGGGGACCTCAAGAGGGTCTGTAGGGCTGGACACAGTGGCTCACGCCTGTCATCCCAGCACTTTGGGAGGCTGAGGCAGGCAGATCGTTTGAGGTCAGGAGTTCAGGACCAGCCTGACCAACATGGCGAAACCTTGTCTCTACTAAAAATACAAAAAAATAGTTGGGTGTGGTGGTACATTCCTGTAGTCCCAGCTACTCGGGAGGCTGAGGCAGAAGAATCGCTGGAAAGGCGGAGGTTGCAGTGAGCCAAGATCTCACCGCTGCACTCCAGCCTGGGCGACAGAGTGAGATTCTGTCTCAAAAAACAAAAAAATGATGATCTCTTAAGATGGCAGAGCAGCAGGAAGCCCGTTTCCACCTCTGTTAAGCTGCTTTTACATAAAAGTGAATCATGGCTGAGCACAATGGGTCACGCTTGTAGTCCCAGCACTTTGGGAAGCTAAGAAGGGAGGATCACTTGAGCCCAGGAGTTTCAAACCAGGTTGGGCAACATGGTGAAACCCCATCTCTACGGAAAAAAAAAAAAAAAAAATAGCTAGACATGGTGGCATGTGCCTGTAGTCCCAGCTACTTGGAAGGCTGAGTTGGGAGGATCGCTTGAACCCAGGAGGTGGAGGTTGCAGTGAGCTGAGATCCCACTACCGCACTCCAGCCTGGGCAACAAAGCAAGACCTATTTCAAAAAAGGGTGAAAAAATTGAATTTTTTTAAGCTACAACTTACACCTAACCTTAGCCAAACCTGATCCACTAGCAGTGGGTGCTAAGCCAACCTGAGGACAGTTACTGTGTGGAGCATGGAGAATATGTCCCTAGCAAGTTCTAACTCGGGTGGAATGACCACACTCCAAATGAAGTCAGGAGTCATACTCACGTCTAAGAGTCAATCTTCTTCCCTGTAACCCTGCAAACTATGTGGGACCTAAGCCATGGTAGCTCTTTAGATCTCCTGTTGTCTGAAAATTAAGCAGTGCATGTGCTTAATGAGAGACTCTTGTTCGATGGTCCTTGTAGGACCTACCAGTTAGCTCATCCCAGTTTCCGAAGCTTTCTTATACTAGCTCCCTTCCTGGCCCGGCGTCTTCCTCAACACCAAGTCACACCTCTCCTTCTGAAGCTCTAAATATGCTGCCCTTCAACATAACCCATGGAGTTGATACTGGTATTGTTTATGTCATAGAAAAGAAAATGGAAGTACTGAAAGGTAGGGAACTTGCTCAAAGCAAAGTCACACAGTTAGCAAGTGCTGGAGCCAGAGTTGGTCCCCAGAATCTAGAG